AAAGTCTGAATAGTCCTTTCTGACTGACCATCAGTCTGTGGATGATAGGCTGAACTTAGCTTCAACTTAGTACCCAAAGCTTCCTGCAAACTCCTCCAAAATTCTGACGTGAACCTCGGATCTCTATCCGACACAATACTCGACGACACACCATGAAGCTTAACAATCACCCGAACATAAATCTCCGTCAGCTTCTCCAACGGAAAACTTATATTAATCGGCACAAAATGTGCAGACTTCGTAAGCCGATCCACAATTACCCAAATGGCATCAAATCCTCTCGCCGTGCTCGGCAAACCTTTAACAAAATCCATGGCTATACAGTCCCACTTCCAAACCAGAATTTCCAATGGTTGCATCAAACCAGACGGTTTCTGATGTTCCACTTTCAATTTCTGACATGTCAAACAAGCATAAACAAAACGAGCGATATCTCTTTTCATGCCAGCCCACCAAAATAACTTTTTCAAATCATGGTACATCTTCGTGGCTCCCGGATGTATACTCAAACCACTACGATGTCCTTCACTCAGAATTGACTTCTTCAGCTCACCATTATCTGGCACACAAATCCTACCTCGGAACCTCAACACACCTGAACCATCCAACTTGAAATCACTATCGGAGTCTCTCCCCACTCCAGACATCACATCCACTAGATTTACATCAAGCTTCTGACCTTCTCTGATCATATCCAAGAAATCATTGTTCACTTGTAATTTGCCCAACATCACGCAATCTGCCGAAGGTTCACAAACCATGCTCAAATCTCTGAATTTCTCAATAAGCTCCATCTCTTTCGCCATCATAGCCGACATACGAATCTCCCTCCTGCTTAAAGCATCGACTACCACATTAGCCTTTCTCGGGTGATAACTTAGGCTAAAATCATAATCCTTCAAGAATTCCAACCATCTTCTCTGCCTCATATTCAGCTCTTTCTGATCGAACAAATACTTCAGACTCTTATGATCGTTGAATACCTCGAACCTCGAACCATACAAATAATGTCTCCAGATCTTTAACACAAAAACCACCGCAGCCAACTCAAGGTCATGAGTAGGATAATTCCGCCCATGCACCCTCAGTTGCCGCGAAGCATACGCTACCACCTTACCATTCTGCATAAGAACTCCGCCTAATTCCATCTTAGACGCATCACAATACACCACAAACGGTTCACTCGGAGTCGGTAACACTAACATCGGTGTCGTAGTCAATCTCTTCTTCAATTCCACAAAGCTCTCTTCACAAGCGGCATCCCACATAAAAGCTTGATTCTTTCTTGTCAACTGAGTCAATGGCAAGGCCAAAGTAGAAAAACCTTCAATAAACCTTCGATAGTACCCTGCCATACCCAAAAAGCTTCTAACTTCAGTCGCTGACTTCGGCGGTTCCCAATACAGCACCGTACTCACCTTGGATGAATCCACCGAAATACCATCACCACAAATAACATGTCCCAAGAAACTCACCGTCTTCAACCAGAACTCACACTTCGACAGTTTCGCAAACAACTTATTATCCTTCAAAACTTGTAAAGCAATTCTCAAATGTCCTGCATGCTCTTCCTCATACTTTGAATAAATCAGTATATCATCAATGAACACAACAATAAACTGATCCAAATAAGAATGAAAGATCCGATTCATATACTCCATGAACACTCCCGGCGCATTCGACACTCCAAAAGGCATTACCGCATACTCGTAATGTCCATATCGAGTTCTAAATGCCGTCTTCTGAATATCACCTTCCTTCACTCTAATCTGATGGTAACCCGACCTCAAATCAATCTTACTGAACACACGAGCTCCCACCAACTGATCCATCAAATCATCAATCCTGGGGAGAGAATATTTTTTCTTGATGGTCACTTTATTCAACTGCCGGTAATCAATGCACAAACGTATACTACCATCCTTCTTCTTAACCAACAACACGAGAGCTCCTCACGGCGACACGCTTGGCCTGATAAACTTCCTATCCAACAACTCTCCAATCTGAGACTTCAATTCGGCCAATTCCACTGCCAACATCCTGTACGGCGCCATAGATATAGGCCTCGTACCAGGTACAAGATCAATGCTAAACTCAACTTCTCTCTTCGGAGGTAACTCTGTAATATCATCAGGGAACACTTCCGGAAACTCATTCACCACCGCCAACTCTTCCAACAATGCCTTGCTGTCAACATACAATGTTGCAAATAAAGCAAACATCTTAGCCTCATCCTCCAACAAAATCCTTAACTCCTTACCAGACAAAGAATCCGCCAATGCTTCTTCCTCAGGAGAAAGAAACAACAACACTTTCCGAAAACAATCAATATACACTCGGTTGAACTCCAACCAGTTCATACCCAGAATAACATCCAACTTACCAAGAGGCAAGAAAATCAGATCCACACCAAAATCTCTACCGAAAATAGTCAGCGGACACTTCAAACACACTAAAGAAGTAGTCACCGAACCAATAGAGGGAGTCTCAATAGTCATCCGCCGCTCAAGAGTAGACGACACCAAACCTAACCTCCTCACACAATCGACAGAAATGAACAAGTGGGTAGCACCTGTATCAATCATAGCAGACAAGGGAACATTATTGATGAAACAACTACCTTGGTTAGAACGATCCTCACTAGCAGCTTGAGTTCCCACCACCACAAACACTTTGCCACTGGTCTGAGGCACCTGAGACGGCTTCGGCTTCTCGCAATGCGTACTGATGTGACCCTTTTCACCACAGCTGTAACAGGTAGTCATAGCAGTCCGACAATCAGCCATCACATGGTCCGACTTACCACACTTGAAGCACTTCTTCACTTCATGAAAACAATCATCAGCACGATGACCCATGCCACCGCACCGGAAACACTTCACACCCGCAGACACTCTTCTTTCTCTGGGTTTCTTATCAGCAGCAGCCTTAAACTTCCCCTTATCAGTAGGAACACTGTAAGGAGTACCACCAAACCTTTGCTTACCCTTACGGTCATTAGCAGCTTTGTAATGCGCGATCCTCGCCTGGTTATCATTATCATAAATCCTGCTCCTGCTTATCAGCTCAGGATAATCCCTGATCTTCTGACAAGCTATTCCCATCTTCACTTTCGGACGCAACCCATTCTCAAACTTCAAACACTTGCAGGTCATCGCTCCATCAGTATTGTAATGGGGACAATACTGCACTAGCTCCTCAAACTTAGCCGCATACTCGACCACCGTCATATTTCCCTGCTTCAGCTCTAGAAACTCGATCTCTTTAGCACTTCTAATATCCTCCGGAAAATACTTCTTCAGAAAACCAGTGAGAACAACATCCCAAGTAATTGGAGTTCCTGCAGTCTCCCACCTCTGGCGACTGTTGTCCCACCAAGCTTCAGTTTCTCCCTCTAACATGTGAGTACCGAACCTCACCTTCTGCTCATCACTGCAACCCATGGTTCTGAAAATCTTCTCAATCGCCTTAAGCCACTTCTGCGCCGCTTCAGGGTCCAAAATTCCTCCTTGAAACGTCAGCGACTTGTTACTCTGAAACTGCGCCAAATCCCTGAATTGTGCACCCGCAGCGTGGTTCTGATTAGCAACCACCTGCGCCATCGCTTGCATAGCTGCAGCCAACGCAACATCATTCCTTCCCGCCATACTGCTAAACAACAACAACGCCAGGTTAACAGAAAACAAACAAACTCTATCCTACAGACAGACTCAACTACTACATTGGCCGGACGGACCGACCTGCTCTGATACCAGCTTGTAACACCCCGTTCCCAAAATAAAATAAATACAACTAAAATAAACAACTATCAGAGTTTCACACCACAAAACGGGATGTCACAGAAAAACCAAACAAAACATTATTTTTTCATTAAATGATCTTCAACAAATATAACACAGCGGAAATTTGATATCATATATATACATATAAACATCATATACATGTCATACAAGTCATCCTCGGCCAACTGCCCAAAATACACCAGACATAAATCCACTAAAAGAACCCATCAAAACATGATACGCCACAAGGGCACACAAAATCATCAGATGAACATAAAACTCCCCAAAGCCCCGGTGTTACTTATCAGAGCATCCCTACGACTTGCCACAAACCAAGTTAGCTACACACCTGGATTATCTGTATTTTCGAAGAAGCACAGACCACAACAAAAGCAAGGGGTGAGAAATCACGATCAAAATATAACGGTATAAACGTACATGAATAAAAAGGCAGTAAATCACACAATTATCACACAAGTAATTTACTAGATGACTTCCGAGCCTAGTTACCAAAAAAACTATGCTGAGTCCACTGCCTAGTCAAAATTGTAGTTGCAATAATAATTAGGATTTTAAACCTTCCTCTTATATATTAAAATATGCCAAAAGACACCTACATTTTAGAAGGATTGAATAAAAGACCGCCTAATAATTAAAGTTATGTTGAGATAAAAATCATAAGTTATTATAATAGAAATCGATGCAAAATCTTTATACACGTCTCTTTAGTTGTCTGAAAACGTTTTAAGCTAAATTATTTTAAAAATAGAAAGTAATTATAATTATAAGAAACACTTTCAACTTGATTTTCTAGCATGAATTTTTTATGCAATTTTTCTGTTTCAAAACTGATTTGATTGATTCATTATAATTTAATGAACAATTTACTGCTTTTCTGATAAAATGTTTTTTTGAATGATTAAAAGAATAGAAGTAAAACAATTACAAAATAATTTTTTGTATTATTCAAAGTGTCCAACACAAATTCGTGTTAAACACACCCTAAGATACAACTTAACTACTAATTGAAGTGTCTATGGTTCCTCAAATTAGGCTACAACAAAGCCTTGTTTATATATTTCAATATAACTTGGAACTCATCCACAAAACATAACAATAACAAAACCTACAAAACAAGAAAGTTATGGATAGGACATGGACCATCTCATGCTGATAGATATAACTTGGGATGATTAACAACAAAACCAAAGGTTAAAACTATAAATTTCTTGACAAACCAAGAAATACAACCGGCGATGAAATCTGTACTCTAAGATCAGCTACGTCAATATCATGACCACCTTCAACCAGGCCCCACTTGTCCACCTGAAAAGAGAATGAAGACATTTTCATCTCAGATCATGTTTACCTGATAGGAACTCAAATTAATGGACAATAGAAAATAGTATTTTCGATTGAATCCCCAGATCCCAAAGCTAATACTCCTCAGAGAAGAGATAACTCTCGCTCGGCTTAACCCAAAAGGTTTCTAACGAAAAAGATGTTAAATGCACTCACATACTCTAACAACCTGTCCCGTCCCGTCATACAATTCTTCTCTAACTTCCCTATTCCGCTTACTTGTTGGGTTAGGCCCAAACCTAGAGTCCTATAATTTACATTCATGCCCCGTACTTCAATATTCAAGCACAACATGTATACAAAGACAAATGCATATGAATCAGGTTATGGATTTTAGAACATAGCCATGTGCCATGCAAGTACCTGTAAATCTTCTTCAAGTCTAGTGAGTTCAATTGCTTCCTCAATTTGCAATTTCCCTTGAACCACTGCAATGGCAATAGTTAATGAGTGTGCCGATGATGCAATAGCATCAATTGCAGCCAATTCACAATCATCTGTTTTCTTTAGTAGGTTCTCTACAGCAATCACAAGACCATCATCCTGTTTTCCACCATAGAAGCTGGAGTAAACAACAGGCTTAACACCAAACTCTGACTCCAACCAGCCTAGCAGAGGATCTATTTTCTCAACTTGGCGATCTGCAAGAACATAACTTCATATTAAATTATTTCCACACATCTTTCTCAAAATCATTAAAATGTCTCTTATCCTAGAAACTTTTCGTCAACAACAGCATTATAGTAAAGCACATTTATCACTCCAAAAAGGTAAAGCAAAAATATTCTCTTAATAACATCTTCCGGAGATGAGGTAAACATGATGAAAACTTGCGAAAATATAATCAAAACATCACGACTTATCCAACCAACAAATAATAATTAATCTCCCTGGTAAATCCTTTTCACAGGCATAGGCATAGGCATAAACTAAAAAGTTCATAATATAGCACATAATTCACATGACTTAAAAGTTCATTACACTATTAGTTATAGATAGGTGATTGTTATTTATCTTTCTTGTATAACAACTGCACCATAACTAGAGCTATAGAATTCAAATAGTTGCCATTGCCAGTCAAGTCTATGTCTCCAAAACCATCAATATCACTTTTCAATTCATTGAAACTGTCGAATCAGTTTAGCTAGCCTAAATTTGATCTGTTAAACAATAAAAAGAGCACTAAAAATATGCATTTTATAATAAATTTTTATGTATGACTCCAACATTCCGAGTTCAATATACTTGGTATATATTACTTTTTAAGTCACTAAATCACAACGGTATTAACAGATCTCAGACATCTATAAGGAAATATCACAACATCTAACACCATACCATGGACACCGCTTGTGAGATCATTGTCATCAGGAGCACGGCAAAACACTAAATCTTGATTAAATTTCTTCATCAATTGCTCAATAATTTTGGGCCTTGTCACAGGAACTCTTTCTAAGGCAGTGCAAGCAAGTCTCATAAGAGGCATTGTGAAGGGTCTTATGCCATCTATTTGCTACAATAACAAATCAAATACATCACACATTTAACTCTAAATAATGCTCCTAAGAATCAATAATTAAACATGATTCAAAATATCCAAACTAAACTTCATTGTCACGCAACACAAAACCAAACCAGTTTTACAAAATCAACATGATTCTACATTACAACAAAAAGCAGAAAGAAAAACAAATACTTGATATTCCCATTCAGCAGCAATGGCCTTAGCAAGAGCAAGAGTAGGAAGCTTAAGAGGCCTCTTAGCTGGTGTCTTGAGTGTTCGATAATCAAGCATCACCGTCCAACCATTACCATCATCCGCTTCTCTCGTTTTTACTTCCTTGTAGAACCGTTTCCCGACTATAGATCCCGTCAGGAACGACATCGGCATCGTTACCGACGAAGTCTGTTTCCTCCTCGCCGCTGGTGCTCTCAAATGAACGCTGTCTCCCTCCGATGAGAACGTGAAGGAAGACGATTGCTCCTCGTCGGCGGCGGCCACGGAGCCAAAACGGCGGATGGTCCGGTGAGCTGATAGCGTGGATAGTAATTTAGGGTTTATAGATTTAATTGAATTTCTTATTAATGCGTGGGCCATTTTTTTCTTTTGTCCTCTTTTTTTGAAAAAAAAGCACTGCTACTTCTTCAGAAAGGTTTTTGTTTACGAGAATCGAATCAGAATAAAGAAGGTATGGTGATGACAATTGATAAGAAAAGAAGGAAAGAAGAAGTAGGATAGTTGGGCCTTATCAATTTCCCAATGAATTAGCAATACCTCATTTTGCCACTATGGTTTTTATTTTTATTTTTAAATGATACACCTCCTTACAAAATGTCTAATTATTTAATCTAGTATGTTATTAAAAGTCTTGTTTAATCTAGTATGTTATTAAAAATGAAAAATATATTTTTTAAATTATAAATATAATTTTTAAATTATACAATATTTATATTTTATAAAAAAACTTAAAATAGATTCTAGTACAATGCTAGACAGATTTTCCACTTATGCAACAAGAAGAAACGGGCACTCATGGAAAGATGTTTATCTCAATTTCAACACAATATAACATGAACTTAGGGCACCTTCATCTTATAAGAAATAACTCTTAATCTTTTTGGTCAAATGATTTTCTTAAAGCTTAATGTGGAGGCTTTGATATTATCTTCAACATTGAAAATTAATAATGAGATTTGTTCTTGTACGAATTTATGAGATGAATCATTGACCAGCTGTTAGTGATTCTTACATCACTAGTTGTATTTTTGCAATTTTCTCTCCTACTTCTTATACATATACTCTAGGCCCACACTTGGACATGAAAGGTTACGACTTAGAAAACTTAACATGGGCGAGAGCTGACACACATGGATATATGCAAGCGAAATGTTGAAGGCACAATTAAGTACCTACTAAAATATTGGGGGCATCTCTCTTACATTAAAGGAACAATGATGACACTAATCCCTCCCCAATAACGAAAATGTTACATAATGAAATGTGCGACATGACCCCATAACTCTTCCTAAAATTAAAAGATGTGAGTACTTGAGTCCTCGTCATGAATACATCACAATATAATTAATCACATCTAAACCTAACAAGTTAAAGTTTAGCTATTCAATTTCATGGTACACTACTATGAAAAAACCATACCACAACGGTTGAAAAAAAGATACTACGACGTCTGACCAACCGTTGTGAGGTAAGGGGTAATTGTATGTATGACGATTTTCACCACAACTGCGAGACCGTGATAGTAAGACAGAATACGCGCTACCTACCACAACGGTTACTTCTATCAACCGTTGTGATATATACATTTAGGTAAATAACATTTCATCACAGTTAAAATAAATAATTGTTGTTGAAAGTACCCAAAGTTTATTATATAATATGTAGATTGCTTGTTTTTTAATAAACCTCGTAACAACATACAACAACTCAAATTGATGAAGAAGTATATAATCTGAAAATTAAACTATTCTTGAAAGCCAACTTAAACAAGCCATTGTTTTCCAAATTGCATGCGTCTCATCATTCATTTCCTGTTCTTTAACATATAGAATATGGTTCAATGGTCTAAGTCGTTCATGACATCAATTCTTTCTATTCTAGTTTAATTTGAATAATATCAATAAATTGTTGTTATTCAAATTAAATTAAAGAGAAGATATGGATGTGATGAAGGAATCAGGTCATTGACCTACATTCTATATGCTAAATAGCGTGAGATGAACGATGAGACGAATGCAATTCAGAAAATATTGATTGATATAAGTTGGTTTTTAAATACAACATAAGTTTCAAATTATAAGTTTCTATGTCAATTTAAATGAAGTGTATTTTCAATGAAGGGTTAGTGAAACAAGCAATCTAAATAGCATATAATAAATTCAACTTCATCTACTGTGCAACCGGCATAAGAAGTTAAAGAACAAAACATTGCTAAGTCAAAAGAAACTTCTTTCTTATGACTTAGCAATGTTTTGTTCTTGTTCTGAAAATATTAATCAACAACAACAACATACACTACAACATTTTGAATATACAGCAACACAAAAAAACTGTTGCAAAATCCAAAAAAGCCGTTGCCTTTACATATTAGAACGGTTTTCAGGACGTTCTAAACCAAGTCGTTGTTTTAGCCTTTAGGAACGGTTATTTAGCCAACGGCAACGCCTTGTTCAGAGCCGTTGCTGTAATTTTATATAGAGAACGATCTAGAACAACAACAGCTGGATTCCGTTTTCAAATGTAAACCGTTACAATTGTTGTTTATTAGAAAACGGCTATTTTATGGAATATAGCAACGCGTCTTAGCCGTAGCCTATTCTAAACCGTTCTAATAGAGGGTAAAGTTCATTTTTTCTTCATAGGTTATAGCAACGCTTTCTTTACTACAGACACACTTTATAACTGTTGCAAAAAAATTTATTTTATTTTATAAACCAAATAATTTTTTTTTTAATAAAATAAAATTTTATTTTATTTTATAAACCTAATAATAACATCATTCACAATTTTTTTATATAATAATATTCAAATACAAATTTTAAAATGATCTTGCATTTAAAAAAAATACATGACATAATCTATTTAAATATCATAATGTCAATCATTGACAAAACATCTTCAAATTGCATATCGTAATGTCAACAAAACATCTTCAAATTACATATCGGTCGCTTTCGCGAAAATAAGGTGCCGGTACAACAGAAGAGTCGCCACCTTTCGTTATTTATCCCTCAAAGCGGGAAAGGAAACGATCGGAAAAACCTGACGAAAAAGGGTAAGACAAGGTCATCGCAACCATTGTCTGAGTTCGGGAGTCGGTTACGCAAGGGGAAGGTATTAGCACCCCTCACGTCCGTCGTACTCGACGGGATCCTCGCTTGTTTGTTTACTTGGACGGGTTGGTTTTATTCTATCTACCTATCAAGGCTGGCTGAAAAAGAAAAGAAAAATGACTCGGCAAAGCGTCGCACTTTATGCCTACGTATTCTCATCAGAGAATGAGAAATCAGAGTCAACGTAGTTCGGCCTACGACGGGTTATGGGGGAAGGTAGCTCGCCAAGACATCGCCATCTTGTGCCTACGTACTCTCAACAGGCATGAGAGATCAGAGCTCACGTAGTTCGGGAAACTACGGTTTATTTCCTGTTTTTACGAAAGAAGTGTTTTTTATTGTGTTTGCAATTTCAACCGCACTAGAGACCATGACCTGAGAGTGAATGCGTCGCATGTCACCCAAAGGGTACCATACTAAACATCCAGACTGTGGAAAAGAAGCTCTCCCACAATCCTTTCTCAGATAGCTTAAGGCTCGTAACGTACGAAAGAAATCATTCATGATTACTGTATCTTAAACTGTTTTGAGATGAGAAGAGAACAAGCCCAACTAGGAGGGAGACTATCAAGTCCTACTGTTATCATGCCATGGATTCATCCTATGGTTGAGGTTTGAACAGGGAACTCCTAGATGTTGTCATGCATAGGTTTCAACCTAAAAGTCTATCATCAAATCCTTATCAAAGGAAATGAGAGTCCTAAGGGATCATGTCAATGATACACCAAAACAGACAAAGCATAAGCTTAACAGTAAAATGCATACAATGCAAGTGAGGGAGGAAATGTGTGTGGGGCTTCAGCCTCCACAAGCTCGTCTCAACCTCAAGCCAGTCATGAAATAACAATAATCATACTGAAAAATAAAACAACATGCTATCAAGCAATAAACAGTAAACTGCAATCATACAGATAAACGAAATGAAATGCCATCAGGCAAACAAACCACATGGGCAAGGGAGATGGGCTCTACCGAATACCCGCAAGCAAAGCCACGCAATAACAAAACAAGCAGAGGGAGCAACTCAACCTCTAATGCAATCATGCTCTTAGATTCTACTTATTCTAGATGAACTTATTCTAATGCAACAGACAAATCAAGCAAAACACACAATACAGAAAAGAAAAGCAGAAGAAAGCCTCAGCTCCTCCAGCAGCACCTCAGTCTTCAGACTTCAATCATCAACTGCTTTCCAGGTATCAACCCTACAACATGAGTATCAACTCATCTTCTCCCCTAAGCTTCAGCTTCTTGACCAGCTCCACCTTCAGGCTTCACCATCTTCAGGGATCTTCAAGTATCAACTTGATCTTCATGCTCTTCAAGCTTCAGCTGGAATGGCAATCTTCAAGGATTCATCCTCTTCAATAATCTTCAATGAAGTCTTCATCTTCATGCTCAGGCTCTGACAGCTCTCAAGAATAATCAAACCAGAGAAAAATCACCTACTGGATAAGCTGGGGGATATTGAACTGCTTATTTGATCACCAAAGGTGACCTATAAGGGTTCAACATCAGAGGAAAGGTTCCCTCAAAAGTTCTACCTCCTGGGTATAGCACTTATCCCTCCAAAGGAGAGAGGTGTATACCCTGGAAGGACTTTGAATCATAGGGAGGAATGGATGTGAAGAATACTATCCATGTTTGAGAAAGAAATTATCTACATCTAAGCTCTTCCTAATCCTAACCCTAAAACAACAAAAAGAAAAGAAGAACAAGCTCCTCAAGCTCCTCCAAGCCTCTTCCAGTCTTCTAGTATGCTCCACTAAGCTCCACAATGAGATGCCAAGCTCCTCAAGCCAAAGGAAAACTCCAAAGCAAAGCAAACTAAACAAAACTTGCCCTAAAGGCAACACAAGCAATCATTCAATTCAAAAATCAACCAAAAATAGTATATTACTCTATTAAATCCTAATATAAATGCTAGGGGACCCTACATATCTACCCTTAAGTCCCATATATTCCCCATAGACTAAATTGCCCTACAAAACCTAAATCTAAAATTGTTTTTGACCTATACTAAAGTTTTAATCTAATTCTACACTACTTAGAACTACCTAATTAAAACTACCCTAAGAATTGTCACAAAAATATGGCATTAATTCAGGGGGAACCTAAACCATTCATCTAATCATCCTAAAAAGATTGAACTCAAAATCCTAAGGGAACTACCCTAATTAAAATCTACAAAATCATACATCAACTAAAAGAATTACAAAAGAAATTAAAAGTATAAATATGCAAAAA